GGGAGGGAGGGACAGGGCAGGAGCTGTGCAGAGCCAGGGCTGCACTGGAAGGGGCTGAAGGACAGGGAGAGGGCAGAGCAGACCATGGGGACGAGCTGCTGGCACGGGCTGTGTCTCAGGGGCAGTGCCTGGGCTGGCTCCCGTGGCCCATCAGTGCTGATGCCTTCTGCAGGGGATCCTCAGCCCTGCTCTCAGCAAGGCACTGACAGCAGGGATGGGGGAAGAGTAAAGAACCCTGGCTCTGCAGCCACACTGACCTTGGCACCCCAGCAGCAGCAGCAGCAGCAGTGGGCTGGGACAGCCCTGGCATGCCCCGAGACCCCTCTGCTGCGGGGGGCACCCTGTGCCAGCTCAGCAGCCCCTGGCCAAAGCTGCTTGAGCTGACGAGCAGATGACAATGAGATTAGCACCATCAGCAAAACCAGCTTCTCTGAGACAGATTTAACTGAGCTGAGCCCCACGAGGACTGAGGCAAAGTGAACCTGTTCTTTGGTGCCCAGGAGAGGCAGGATCTGGTCCTGCAGGTGGGCTAGTGTCACCCCAAAGGCACCTGCAGGGAGATGCTGTGGGAGGCAGCTGGGCTGAACCTCCTCAGTGTTGGGTGCCCAGCCCCAAACCTGTCCCTGGGGGTGGGTCCCATCTCTGGCAGTGGCTACAGCAGAGCTCTGAGGGCTTGGGGAGCTTGAACTGAGCAGCAGCTGAAGCACCAGGGAGGAGGGGAGGGGAGAAGTGCTCCAGTGCTCTCGTTTCCAAAATGTGACGGGCAGGCTGCCTCCTTCCTCCCAGCACTTCTCTATTTCTGGCCTGGCAGCCCGTTCTCAGGAGATGCTGCGTGGCTGTCGCTCGCCTGGGTGGTGAGAGCAGGAACAGGCGCTGTCAGCACCTGGGCTGAGCCTTCCCCCAGTTTGTCTCTGTGGCTGCACTGGTGCCCAGGCTGGGCTGTGGGAAGGGAAGGCAATGGGGAACAGCCACCCCAGTCCTTATGGAGGCACCCAGAATGGCAGCAGGAGGGTACCAGGATCTCAGTGTGAGCATCTCCTATTTCAGAGCTCTCCTGGACACCTGGAGCACCAGGGATGAGTGGGGCTGTTCCTTGGACCCCTGCTCTGTAGAAGGGTGAAGTCTGCTTCCCCCACAGCTTCCTCAGGCATTTGGGTGATCAGCAAGGCTCAGGAAATGTCCCTGCTGCTGCCAGCAGCAATTTGAGCACATCAGCTGCAGTGATGTCCCCACCAGACTGGGAGGGGCTGAAGTCAACCCAGACCCTTGCAGACCACCCCTGCCTGTGGCTCACAATCAGCAGAGACCGTCCAGGCTGGGGGTATTTTTAAACCAGCCATGGAATAAGGGAAGTTGGATGTGAGCACATCTGTGCTTGGAGCTGCATCTCCTCCTTCTGAAATGGGCCCTTAGTGGGTCTCCCTTCTAGGGTATTGCCTTCCTGGGCAATGGCTGTCCTACGGCACACTCCTGGCAAGAGAAGGCACTAAAACCTCACACAAGCTCTGCCAGGTGTCAGGGGCAGGCTCTGGGCTCTGTGTGTGCAGAACAGGAAATGCAGAACGTGAGCAGACACTGATGAAATAGCGGAGAGCACTCCACAGAGGGGAGGTGGGTACAAAGAACCACACACCCCACCCCAAACATCCCAGCTGGGCAATTCCCCCAGGACAATCCCGGGCTGTGCTCCATGGACAAGTGCCCCAGCAGCGAGAGTCCCCTGGCTGGCATCTGCCTCAGCGAGTCCGAGAAGGCGGCCGTGCTCACGCTCATCAGGGAGGAGGTAAGGGCTGAGCCCCTGGCCCCTGGAGCTGCCTCTTGCCACGAGGGAGCAGAGGCAGCTCTGCCCTGCCTGGGAGGGGGGATCTGATCTCCTCATCCCCTGCGTGGGACATGGAGGGGAAACCTTTGGAGCACACCCTAAGGGTCCCGTGTCTGCTGCCACGCAGATAATCACCAAGGAGATGGAGGCCAACGAGTGGAAGAAGAAATACGAGGAGAGCTGGCAGGAAGTGCTGGAGATGAGGTAGAAGCTGTCCCCTTGCAGGGCTCTGTGCTCAGGGCAGGATGTGAGGGGTGACTGACACAGCTCAGCCTCAGCAGGGTGGGCTGTCCTGGCAGAGACGTTCCCTTAGTGCTGGTGCTGGTCACGCCTGCTCCTTCCTTTGCTGCAGAAATAAAATCCCATCAGCTGGGCCAGCCCCACTGGCAGAGCTTTGGCCTGAAGCGGCGCTGATGGGTGCTGCAGCCCCAAACATCTGTGCTGCATCCCTAAACATCTGTGCTGCATCCCCAACATCTGTGCTGCTTCCTCAACATCTGTGCTGCATCCCCAACATCTGTGCTGCATCCCAAACATCTGTGCTGCATCCTAAACATCTGTGCTGCATCCCAAACATCTGTGCTGCAGTCCCAACATCTGTGCTGCATCCCTAAACATCTGTGCTGCATCCCCAACATCTGTGCTGCATCCCCAACATCTGTGCTGCATCCCAAACATCTGTGCTGTATCCCAAACATCTGTGCTGCAGTCCCAACATCTGTCCTGCATCCCCAACATCTGTGCTGCATCCCCAACATCTGTGCTGCATCCCAAACATCTGTGCTGCAGTCCCAACATCTGTGCTGCATCCCAAACATCTGTGCTGCATCCCAAACATCTGTGCTGCATCCCAAACATCTGTGCCCTGTGGCCATGCTCCTTGGGGTTGCAGTGGTGATGGGCATGGGCCAGCAGGGCCTCCTGTGGGGCAGATTGCTGCCAGCACAACTGGAGGGGCATGTCCCCAAAATCAGTGACCTCCCACCTGGTTTTTTTCTCTTCCTCATAGGAAAATCGTGGCTGAGTATGAAAAGACCATTGCCCAGATGATAGGTAAGGTGCTGTCACCTGGCCAGGTGTGTGGGGCAGGGAGCTGGCTGCCACAGCTCAGTCACTGTGTCCTTGTTGTTTGTTCCCATCGCAGAGGATGAGCAGAGGACAAACATGACATCTCAGAAAAACCTGCAGCAGCTCACAATGGAAAAGGACCAGGCTCTGGCAGACCTGAACTCAGTGGAGAGGTCCCTGTCAGATCTGTTCAGGAGATATGAAAACCTGAAGGGAGTCCTGGAAGGATTTAAGAAGGTCCTTACCTTGGTTTTCCCTTTCTCCCTGCAGCTCTGGTTCCTGTGCAGTGACACTGCACGTTTCTATGCTGCTGAGCTGGATAAGGGGCTCCAGCATAAAGCAGAAGTCGGGTTATTTTAAAAAGCTTATTTCTTACACTCAGAACAGTATCTATCATCTGTCAGAGCAGTGTCTTTGTGCCCAGTCCCAATGCAGATGGATGGACTTTCTTTTCCAGAATGAAGAAGCTCTGAAGAAATGTGCTCAAGATTATCTAACCCGTGTCAAGCAAGAAGAGCAGCGGTATCAGGCCCTGAAAGTCCACGCAGAAGAAAAATTAGACAAGTAAGGTCATGCATGAGATTGCTGGGTGCTTCAGGACCTTGTAGGGAAGTGGCTTCATTTGCTCTCCAGATGCTGGAGCTGAATGATGTGAAAAGCTGCATTTTACCTCAGGCTCAAGTGTCCCTGAGCAAGGCAGAGCAAATCCCTGAAAACATTCTCTGATCTCTGCTTATTTATTTTTTAATGGAGAATCTGAGGTTCACGGTCTATTTATGGTCACTTACCAGGTTCCCATCTTTCAGGGTGTTTGTGGTACAGGAGGGGGCTGTGCAGCCCTGGGGCTCAGCTGATGAGCAGGAGCTCACCAGCACACGTAACCCCAGGAGAGGTGGGTGGTGCTGGTTTGGCCTCGCACTCAAAGAGCAGAGTTCTGTACAGGGCAGGAGGAGCTGGATGAACCCAGTTTCCATAGGGGCAGACCCCCTCTGCTGTATGCAGGCTGTGCAGGGCCTCAGGCCGTGCTGTGGTGCTCCTGGCTGCACCCTGAGCCGACCCCTCTGTCCAGAGCCAATGAGGAGATCGCCCAGGTGCGCGCCAAGGCCCGAGCGGAGAGCGCGGCGCTGCACGCGGGGCTGCGCAAGGAGCAGATGAAGGTGGAGTCCCTGGAGAGAGCCCTGCAGCAGAAGGTAACGCTCCTGCCCTCGCCTCTGACCCTGCCAGCAGCTCCTGTTGCTGCCCTGAGCATCCTCTTCATGCCAGAGGTGGCCTCCAGATTTCTGGTCCAGAAGGGGTTTCTTGGGTTTGGTTTTTGGGGTATTTTTTTTGTTTGCTCGGGGTTTTTTGTGTTTTATGGGGTTGGTTTGGATTTTTTAGGGCAAAATGGGCATCGCTGGCTTGGGTGTGTTTTTTAGCTCTGTTTGCAGAGCTGTGGCCTGGGTTGTTGCAAACCTGACTGGGATGAAGAGGGCTGAGCACAGGGCTCCACACAGTGCCTGGATGCACAGAGGAGCTGTTGCAGGGACAGCTGTAGAAGCTGCTGCCCTTTCCCACACACACATGGTGGCAGATGGGCCTGGGTGTTACCCCCACCTGAGCCACCACAAGATCTGCTTTTCTTCCAGAACCAGGAGATTGAGGAGCTGACCAAGATCTGCGATGAGCTGATAGCAAAACTGGGAAAGTCCGACTGAGCCTCAGCACCCCTCGCCCAGCACTCTGCACTTGGCTGCTTTTCTCGTGACGTCGAGCACCTTGCCTTACCCCGGAGTCCCTGCAGGAGAGCTCATGTGCCAGGCCTGTGGCTCCTGAGCAGAGCCGCTCCTCTCACCCCCCCTGTCTGCTTCCCACAGCTCTGGGGCTCTGTGGTCAGCCTGGGCCTGCCTGTCCCTCCCAGGGCCTGCCTGTCCCTCTGTGCCAGTGCCACCTCTCAGGCTGGAGGCGACAGTCTGGGCTCTGTCCCACTCGGTTTGCTGGGTCTAGTTGTGTCCCCAGCACACTTTGTCACTTACTGTCCTCTCGTGCTCAGCAGAGCAGGTCCAGCCCCGTGCTGAGTCCTGCCCTGGGATGTGGGTGGTGGCAGGGGTGCACTGCTGGCTCTGGCCCTGGGAAAGGGAAGCTGGCACTGGGATGGCCGGGCTCTGCTTGGTGGGTGTAGCACAGCACAGCATCTCCTGTCCCTGGCTGTGCCAGCCTCAGAGGAAGGGAGTTGACATCTCTGCATTTGTGCACTTTATGAGCATTTATGGGCACTTGGGCTCTCTGCTCACTCCTTCCAGACAGGCACGGTGCTGACGCAAGGCACGACTTGTTCCCCCCTAGAGCACTGAAACAGTCACACAACCTGAGTAACTGCAGTCTTCCCAGGGGAGAGTCCTGCTGAGGGCAGCCAGGAGGTTTCTGCACCAAGAGGTGTTTGAGAAGCAGGGGAGGTGTTGGTTCTGGAGAGCAGGGACTGCCTGTCCATCCTGCCCGTGGCCCCTGCAGGGTTGGGTGACCTCCTGCTGGACACGGACAGAGCCAGGACGTTGCTGTTGTTGTCTGTGCCACGGTGAGATCAAGGTTCTATTTCAGAGGCTGCAGGAGGGAGGAGGTGAACCCTGAGCTGCCTCGTGGCTGCTGCAGTAGCTGCAGTGCTGGAGGATTCTTTGCCTTGAATGGATAGGTATGAAATAAGGGAAATATTTTCAGTTTGGACTGTTTCCTGCCCAGCCTGTCGAAGACTTTAACAAACCTTTTTGCTGCTACCTTTTTCTAACAGAATTGAGCTCTTTTCCTTCTATTTTCTAATTCCCTATGTTGAGCATGCAGGGTGAACACCTGTTTAAGCCAGAGCCATGCACTTGATTTTGTTTTATTAGTTATGTAATATATAGAGGGTTTATTCTACACTTAAGCAAAGGTGTCAGCAGCCTGCCCCAGCACGCAGCTCCCCTGCTGTTCCCCCCACTCCCAGTTATCCCAGTAACAGACTGGTCACAGTGGCCGACACCGCTCAAAGCAGTGCACCTGTTGCTTGTGCTGGATATTCACCCTTTGCACAGTTGACAGAAAAGAAAACCCCTCTTTTTGACCCCTTTGACCTCCCCACGTGTCCCTCTCTTGGGCTGGTGAAAAAGCTTCATTAGAACGATCAAGGAGGAGTATTTGTGCTGCCCTTGGGGAGTCAGTGCAGGAAAACCCCTGAGACCAGAGATTGCTTGGGCAGTTGGATTTTTCTCTTGGGGGAGCAAAATGCAGCATCGCAAAACCTCAGAGCTGGTTTGGGGCTGGGGCTGGGCTTGTTCAGAGCTGGGGCTGGGCTTGTTCAGAGCTGGGGCTGGGCTGGGGCTGGGCTGGTTCAGGGCTGGTTCAGGGCTGGTTCAGGGCTGGTTCAGATCTGGTTCAGGGCTGGTTCAGATCTGGTTCAGGGCTGGTTCAGAGCTGGTTCAGGGCTGGTTCAGGGCTGGTTCAGGGCACAGGGGCACCGTTCTGCCCACCATAGCTGGCAGAGCCCAGGTGTGGGAGGGAGGCAGGTCCCAGGTGGGGACTGTGGCAGCCCTCAGCCTTCTGCTTTGCTCAGGGCTGTGATGCTCACCTGCTGTCAGTTCAGTCTCTCCTCAGGGCATTGCTCTGGCCCTTGGAGCTGATGGATAATTGCAGAAGTTTAGATTTCACCGCTCAGCACTTCCCCAGCCCCTGACCTGCACACAGCAGTCACCACTGCAGCTTTCCCTGTGGGCTGTGTGTGAAGCACGGCTCCTCTGTGATACCCCACGGGGCACAGGCCATCCCTCCTGTCCCAGTGTCCCTCCCCAGTGTCACCTGGCCCTGCCGTGCTGCTCCCGGTGCTGTACCTGTGCCTGTCCGCACGCACCCCAGTCTGGGCAAAGAAGATTCCTACGGAATGATTTATTAACTATAATATGGTTACAGTTACATATATATAAATACATGTATAATGGGTATAGCTATATAAAATAGAAGTTTGCCAACAGGCAGGATGGTTGCACCTCGTGTGCCGCGCTCAGACGTGCTGAGGTGGTGGTGTCCCCATGCCTGGCGCAGGGAATGGCGGGTCCCTGCACGTGGTGTCACAGCTGGGTGTGTTTGTCCTCTGTTTCTTGCAGTAGACTTTAAATGCCCCTTCTGGCAGCAGCGTTCTGCCCCTGCTGCTGCGTTGCTGTTTGCAGTGTGTGTTTGCCAGCAGAGCTGTCTGTAACCAAGTGCCAACCATAACCCCCAACTACTGATCTCTTCCCCCGTCCCTCCACTGTGGCCTCCCCCAGGCAGGAACTTCCTCTGCCTTGACTTCTGCTCCTTTGCTTCCAGCCATGTGTGTAACTGCCATCGCCATAGATTTTATATGTATGACAATTTCCCTTTTATATGTCAGGTAAATATTTGTAAGAGTTATACTCACACAAATGAGATTATTATAATGATTACTAATATATTTTTTCCATGTTTCATTGCCTGAGTAAAAACTGTGGTTATCACTCTTGAAAGCTTTCTTGGTGTTTGTGAGGTTGGTGAAGACTTTTTGGAGGACTTGGCTTTACCTTCCAGAATGGGATGTGTTCTGCCTTGTCTTATTAATGCAGTTTACACTGATTGGCAGTTGGTTTCAAATAGGTACAGTTCCCTGAAATCTGCATTTCTGAGCTCTGAAATTCAGACCTGGGATGACTTTTCTGGCCCTGTGACTCCCAGCACTCCCAGCACACTGTGATGGTAACTAAGCCATGGTGGTGAGCTCAGCCAGCAGGAAGAGCTGAGGCAGCAGTGGGATGGCAGGCAGGAGAATGAATCCTTGGCCTAATCCCTGCCCTGACCCTGACAACACTCTGTGGCCTTGGGCAAATCCTTCTGGGAGGAGCCCTGGGGGCTGGGGGGTGCAGGAATGGTCCCACTGGGCTCCCAGCCCTCTAGGGGTTTTCAGCTCTTCTCTTGCACTTCTCTTTTGGTGGGTTGGGAAATCTGGAGGGGTTTTCCCCAGCTTGGCTGCTACTCGTGACAAGAAAGGGGTTGTTCTCTGCATGGAGCATACGGGCTTGATCAGCTTTGTGAAAGCCATCGCAAGGTTCTGTGTCCAGAGATGGTTTCCAAAGCAGGATGTGGAGCAGAGCCCAGCCCATCCAGCGGCACCAGCGTGGGGCTCTGCCCCATTTCCATTGGGCAGCCCCTGCTGTCCCCGTGTCCTTGGGGAGCTGTGTCCTGTCCCCCCTGGCTAAGATGCATTATCCCACCCCCGATGCAGCCACCCAAGCAGATTAGCTGTAAGACCTTAAGACAAAAGAGCAGCTAGGCACTCCACACTGCACACTGCTGAGAATGGCTGCCCTGAAGACCCTTCTGGCCCTGGCCATCGTCTCGTCCCTGGCTGGAGGAGGTAAGTGTCCCTTGGCTCCAGGCAGCACAAGGTGGGGTAAATCACTGTAGCTGCTCCTGCGCTTGCTGCTGCTCCATCCCTGTCACCTGCCCCCGGTGCCCCTGCTCCCACCCCTGCAGGAAAACCATCTTTTGGGGGGAGGGTGGCTTTCTCCTCTGAGCAGCACCAAGAGAAGTCCCCTGTCCTTTGCCTCTCCTCCACTGGCACAAAGCCCAGGCGTGCAGTGCCCAGCAGAGACCAAAGAATCTCTGGTCCCCAGCTCCAGTGGAGGCTCCTGAGCCAAACCCCTGCAGCCTCTCTTGGCTAGAGCTGTGTTTCCCTGCTAAAACTTGCTTTCTCCAAGGCATAATCACAAAAACCCATTGTAAAAGGCAGGAGGGTGGTTGCACTGCTCAGAGCAATACTGTGCAGTAGGGGCAGCTATAGACAGTTTCAGATCTTTGGACCAAGGCATGATGAATGCAGCTGGATTTGTAGCCCAGGGCAGATGAAAGGCTGTGAGGAACAGCAGAGGACGCACAAAACCAGCCAGCAGCGGAATCCGGGTCATTGTGGGTTAATGAAAGGTGGTTACTGGCATCTGACCCCGTGAAATCCCAATTTTCCCCATTCTCGGGTTTTCTCTCCCTGAGATGAAGGTGGAAGCTCTTGCAGGAGCCGGCCCCGCTGCCACGAGAGGGCTCTGCTCTGTCAGCGCAGCAGAGACGAGTTTCAGTTCCCAGGTTTGTCCAGCCCCATCAAAACCAAGGATTCGTCATTTCAGGCAGGAACGGGATCTTCAGGTCTGGGCTTTTCTGGGGGTGTGTGTTTGAGGGGTCACACAGCTCTTGCACCACTATCTGACACACAGGAGAGAGGGGTGGCTGCTATCAAAGCTGCCCGTGGGGCTCCTTTAAGGACATCTGGAGATGGCTCGTCCCTGCCTGTCACCCTGCTTGTCCCCAGGCAGCATCCTCGGGCTGAGCTTCCCGAGTGCGCTGGGTGTGGGAACTGCACCCACTGGCTGGATGGATTCTCCCTTCTCCCCCCAAAAATACTTATTAAAATGAAATCTGGCACAAGAAGACAAAGATCTAAGATGGTTTTTAACTATTATGTCTATTTTTGCTGTAAAGGGAATTCCAGAACTCTCAGGGAGTCTTTGCAGCGCAAGGACTCAGCTCACCCGCCTGCTTTAGCTCCCATCATTTTGAGTCACACTTGGAAGAGTTTTGCATTAATTTTGTGGGCAGGGGAGGTCCCATCCCGCATCCTCTGAACGCCGGGGCAGCAGCGCCGGCCCCTGGCTCGGCTCTGTCTGGTGCCAGCCCTCACCTGTGAGCCCCGGTCCTGGGGTTGTGCAGACCCACGGAGTGTCGGGGCTCTGGGGGCTCTGGGACGGTGACAGAGTCACTCCCACTCCTCATCTTCACCCAGGTAAAGCGCTGAAATGCCACAAATGTGTCGCATCCAGCGAGAACGACTGCAACCAGCAGGGATCGCACAGCTGCCCGCAGTTCGCCGATGCCTGCTCCACCATCACCGCGCCCAGTAAGAGACTGGGCTGGGGGCCCGGGGGGACTGGGGGGGCTGGGGGAAGCGGGGTAGGACCGTCGGGTCTCGGAGGGGACCAGAGGGGCTGGGGGCCGGAGGGCGAGGAGGAGCAGGAGGTGCCTCCTTCTTGTGGGCAGGAGAGAGATCCTTTCATTGCTGCCCCGCACCGTGCTGCGTTCAGGGGCTCTCTCTCCTGTCCCGGCTCCCGGGAGCGCCTGACCCTCGTGTCGCCTCGCCTTTCCTTGCAG